AGGTCAAACCTTGCTTGCATGACCGACCTTAATGGTGATTTATAAGGTTTTCCTCTATATCTTGACTTAGTTCTCTGTTTATTGATGATCGACATCTTGGATGCATTCGTATTTTGGGTCTTCTTAGTTGTTGTGTGGATGTTGACACATCAGATTTGAAGGTTGTTCTAGTGTTTGATATGGCAAGATAACTGAAGTGCTTCTTTAGAAATATATGAAGTAGGTTTTAATAGTTATTGAAAACTTATGTTATGGCATTCTGAGATTGTTATACTAGAAGCTTCATTCATATTGTTCCTCAAATGCCAAAAAAATTTGAATGTAATCATCTCAGTAGTTAAAACTAGAATTGGAGGATTTCATCTCTGAGTCACTATGGATATATTCACTAGAAATTGAAAAAAATTGTCAACAAGATTCATTGTTTGGATGTAATAATCCAGAGATTATGTTATAATTAATATCTTTTGTGATTTGGCTAACAGATGAATTCAATTATTTATAATTTTTCACTGATGTTCCTTTAATCATTTGGATTGGCATACATATGTGGTTGCTGATTGACGGTTTATCCTATTACCAGGATGTGGCAAGTGAGATCGCTGCAGAGTTACATGGCACTCCAGATCTCGTTATTGGAAATTACAGTGATGGGAATCTTGTTGCATCTTTGTTAGCTTATAAACTGGGAATCACCCAGGTATTCTCTGGTAGTCATATCTTTGTTACACGTTCTCATCAATTTTAACTTTGTATTTACATATATAATTGATAAACTTTTGTACAGTGTAACATTGCTCATGCACTAGAGAAGACAAAATATCCAGATTCAGATATATATTGGAGAAAGTTTGAGGACAAATACCATTTTTCATGCCAGTTCACTGCTGATCTAATTGCTATGAATAATGCAGATTTTATAATCACTAGCACCTATCAAGAAATTGCTGGAAGGTACTTTTTCTTTGTTCTCTGTATGTTTTAAGTTTGTTTATCTACTTTTGTCATTTGGAGATGTTCTGTTCATTTTGTGTTGTTGCACATTTTCTCTATTGACATCTTGTTCACACCTTTTTGTTTCTAGTTTGATGGTTATTGTCCTTTTTCTCCAAGGAAAAATATATCTATATCAAAATTTTATTACAAAGGAGGCCCTGCATATCAGAGCTCAAAATAGTACAGTTTGGATGGCCGTTAAGCCCCCAGAGCTTAATACATTTACATGTCCTCACAAAATTTAGATAGCATAGTCAAAAGGTAATTGTTTATAAAGTCTTGTTGACACTCACGATAACATATCAAAGCCATATGAAAATTTGTCAGACCATTATTTAATGGAACCTTAAATGGGGATTTGGAGTTTGATGTAGTACTGATTTATGCTGCTTACTCTAGTTGTTCAAATCAGGCTTTCCCATCTTGCCTTTCTTTTCAATTTGGTGTTTAATTTTGAACCTTATCTGGCTATTGATGTACTCATTGACAAATACTGAAGTGTATGCTTTTCTCTTTGCACATGGTCGACTGAGTTAGATTGCTTTGACAAATACTGGCAATTGATGTACTATCTTTTGACACACACACACACACACACACGCTGTCAATTTAAACCTGGACTTGATTGCTAAATTTTGTTTTGTTGCTTCTAAAATGCTGGCTTTGTTCTTGATCTTCAATATGAAATTTTGTCCTCGATGTCTCAGCAAGAACACAGTTGGACAGTATGAGAGCCATACTGCTTTCACTTTGCCTGGTTTGTATCGTGTTGTCCATGGAATCGATGTTTTTGATCCAAAGTTCAATATAGTCTCCCCTGGAGCAGATATGAGTATTTACTTTACATACTCGGAAAAGGGAAAGAGGCTTACTTCTCTTCATGGTTCAATTGAAAAGCTGCTTTATGATCCAGAGCAATGTGATTTGCACATGTGAGTATATGTGTAATAATTTTCCTTTTAAACTGTTATCTGATTTTTAATAATGATAATTGTCTGTTTTGCTATTAAATAAATTTTCAGTTCATTACTCCCATGATGTAATCTCTCAGAGCTTTTTGTACTTCATTTTCTGCTGGGTCATTGAACTTTTTTTGTTGTCATCGTTTATAATTGTCTTCAATGTGGCATGAAGTGTGATCATTTACAAAACACAAAATGGTATAAATCACAAACAAGTGAAGGATATTTAATCATAGTTGTTTGATAACAATTGCAGCACTGTGTTTAGCATGAATTGAAAGAATGCACTTTGAGGTGGCTGCCATGTAGTAGTGATATTAAATTTTGCTTCACAACACGGGGCACCACAAGTGGGCTATATCGCCCACAGTTTAATGAATTGAATATTTATTTATATGGATTAGCCATTCTGGGCCAATATCAACGAAGACAGACTTTTTTTATTATGTGGGCTGGTAAGTATCAAGTTTAATATATTGTCGCTTAACACATTATCTGGTCATGTGAAATGGCATGTCCAAGCACAGATCTTATAGGACATACCCTGTAACATTCCATCATGTGAATGAGCCTGAACTTGGGTTTCACCTGATCTTGATAAAGCTTCATTTTTTATGCTTTTTCTTTTTTACTCATTTGTCCTGCCATTTCCAAACTACATGATGATTTGGAATCTTTATATCAGCCATTTCTTTATTAGGTCTTTCCCAGCATTGTCCTCTCATTTTCTGCTTCTTGGCATGAATTCATTGTTTTCCTTCCACAGACAAATTTGAAGTCTGATAGAACTTATCTTTTATGTTGTAGGAAGTGCTTTCTGAGGAATTATGTAGATTCAAAAGTTAGACTAAGTTACCATAACCAGATGGAGTATAATTTCTTTGATTAATCATGATTGATCAAGTAAATCTGACTTTTTATTTCATTATGTTGTGGTTCTCATGGTTACACTTAATAACTGGACTTTTGTTTTCCTACTTCAGTGGTTGTTTGGATGACCGATCAAAGCCCATTATTTTCTCCATGGCGAGGCTTGACAAAGTGAAAAACATAACAGGCTTGGTCGAATGGTTTGGTAAAAGCACTAAACTAAGAGAATTGGTCAACCTTGTGGTAGTTGCTGGATACATTGATGTGAAGAAATCCAGTGACAGAGAAGAAATCCAAGAGATTGAGAAGATGCACCAGCTCATTAGTTCATATAACTTGTCCGGTCAGTTCCGCTGGATTTCTGCCCAAACGAATAGGGCAAGGAACGGTGAGCTGTATCGCTACATAGCTGATACTGGTGGTGCTTTTGTTCAGGTACAATTTTGTGTCATCAAATGAATTTTTTGCACCTAACATTGTATAATAACTTATTATCCTTTCTCTACAGCCTGCTTTTTATGAGGCTTTTGGTCTAACTGTAGTGGAGGCCATGACTTGTGGTCTTCCAACATTTGCCACTTGTCATGGAGGTCCTGCAGAAATCATTGAAAATGGGTTATCAGGCTTCCATATAGATCCATACCATCCTGATCAGTCTGCTGTAGTCATGGTGGAGTTTTTTGAACGTTGCAAGGAGGACTCTGGCTACTGGAAGAAAATATCGGATGGAGGGCTGCGTAGAATACAAGAGAGGTCTTTCACACAAGATTTGTTCTTTAATTTGCTTCTCTTTTACATCTGGTTTGCTGCAGCACATTTTGGTAAGCAATGACATAATGTTTAACAATCTCTAGGTATACATGGAAGATCTATTCAGAAAGGCTAATGACACTGGCTGGAGTTTATGGCTTCTGGAAATATGTTTCAAAACTCGAAAGGCGTGAGACGCGGAGATATCTTGAAATGTTCTACATACTGAAGTTCAGAGACCTGGTAAATTTGATCTTCACCGAGTTGCATATGGAAATTCTTTCTCTGACAAAAGACATGCTTCATGATCTCTGAATGCTGGGATTAACACAAAATTTACAATGAACATTCACATGACCTATTATCCTGTAATGATTTTTCTTCTTCTGTCCCATGAATGTTCTAATCAGATTTTTATTTTTTTTAATGTCAGGTGAAGTCTGTCCCTCGTGCAGTCGATGACGATCACTGATACTGTACATAAACTAAAATAATAAACATGTGCCTCTGCCGCTAAATTGGTTGTCCGTCGACGGCGTGCCACAAGCTGCAAAGTACTCGGGAAAAGCCTAGTTAAGTTCAATATTTGATGGTCATCAAGCTGCTTTCTTCAACACTGTCACTAATAACACTTCCAATAAGATTTGTAAGGTATGCCAGGCAGATGCTCAAGTAGTCAACCCATCTTCCACCGACTTGCTTAAAGATTATGCTGGGTGGTGTTGCTTATGGTGTAAGTTTTATGTATAAACTTGTGTTTGCTGTCAGCTTATCCAGTCTAAACTGTTCTTGTAAATAAAGGGAAACTGCATTCCTGCTCTAACCTTTTCTTCCTTTTGCATCGAAGACCAAAGACCAATCTGTGCATTTAGCATTCGATATATTGAAGAGCATAGTCTTTTTGGTGTTCATCTTTAGTATAAGCACACGTACATGACACAAACGCAAGAGCTACTAAATTAGCATACTATACTATTTGTAGAAAAAAGTGAAGGCTTTTTTTTCTTTCCGTATCTCTCTTTTATTTTCTAAATAGTTTTATTGGTTTTCTTAATTAAATTCCATCTAATTTCGATCAATTGAAGGTTACCATCTAATTTTGAGTGAGTGAGCGATGTCACCAGTAGTCTCAAATCGTTTAGAATTGAAAGAATAAGATAATATATATTAGGTTTATGGACATAATGGTGTATCGAAGCCTATTACCATCGAATCCGCAAGTTCACTGAACTAAGCAAAACACTTGAAAGCTTGATGAACACATTCTCTAACTTTACCATTTTGTACATCTGGTCTTAAATTAAAGGAGAGATGGAAGTGTAAAGGTAAAAAGACACCTTTCTTCCAACGCAGGCAATTCCAACTTACTGGCCTGCATGATTTATACACCATCCTTTCCTTCCTCTTCACCACACCTCTCCAATGGCATTAACTTCTGACGTCCTTCTCCTCCTCCTGCTCTTCCTTCCCGGCATTTATGCCCAGTGGAGCCAATCCTCCTCCCTGGAGGAAGCAAAAGCCTTCGAGGAATCTTTGCTCCACCAGGCCTGCTTGAACACCACCGACCATGAAGCTTGCACGTCGCGCATCAGCATCGAGTGTCATCGGCAGGGGCGCACTGGGCCGATCTCCATACTCCACGGCGCCGTCAGGGGCACCATCGACGAAGCCCTCCGCGCCGTCGGCACCTTGTCGGGCCTCGCTGCAGTTTCCAGTGACCTCCGCGAGGAGATGGCCATCCATGACTGCGTCGAGCTCCTTGGCTACTCCATCGACGAGCTCGGTTGGTCGCTGGAAGAGATCAGCCGGCTCGTCTTGGAGAACCGCAACATTCACCACGAAGCAAACCTCCGCGCATGGCTCAGCGCCGCGCTCAGCAACCAAGACACGTGCTTGGAGGGCTTCGACGGCACCGACGGTCGCATACGCCATTACATCCACAGCAGAGTAGCGGAGGTGACACAACTCGTGAGCAACCTGCTGGTGATGTACAGGAAGATGCGCAGCATCATACCTCACGCGCCACCCAGAAATGGCACCAAAAGCGACGGCAACAGAGACTCGCCACCCTGGGTGGTGGTCGACCAGGAGCTCCTGCATGCGGATCCCAAGGCGTTGCGCGCCGATGCGGTGGTGGCATCGGATGGCAGTGGGAGGTACCGGTCGATCAACGAGGCGGTGAATCGAGCGCCAATCCACAGCTCGAGGAGGTACGTTATATACGTAAAGAAGGGGGTGTACGAAGAGAACGTGGAGTTGAAGAAGAAGAAGACTAATATTATGATCGTTGGTGATGGAATGGGAATTACGGTGATTTCCGGCAGCAGAAATTTCATGCAAGGATGGACGACCTTCAGGACTGCTACCTTCGGTAAGCTTTTCATTCCTTTCTTCTCCCTCCACCGGCAAACTCAACATGATTCTTTTCTTTGTGTGATGGAAATGTGGAACGAGCCTTTTAAATCTCATGTATTATATGATTTGCTTATTATTTTGTCGCTAGTGAAAAGTTATTTATAATCTCATATTTAATGTTAAAATTAAATCCTGTTTGATTTAAGAACAGAGGCAAACGAAAGATCTATTGGCGTTCGAACGTACTGCATGTCTTGACATTTATGTGGGCTTTCCATGGCAGCGGTTTCCGGGCAGGGCTTCATAGCGAGGGACATAACCTTCCGTAACACCGCCGGGCCGCAGAACCACCAGGCGGTGGCCCTCCGAGTGGACTCCGACCGTTCGGCCTTCTTCCGGTGCAGCATCGAGGGCTACCAGGACACCCTGTACGCCCACTCCCTCCGCCAGTTCTACCGCGAGTGCAACATCTACGGCACCATCGACTTCATCTTCGGGAACGGGCTCACCGTGCTGCAGCGCTGCAACATCTACACGAGAAGGCCGTTGCCGGAGCAGAAGGTGACGATCACGGCGCAGGGGCGCAAGGACCCCAACCAGAACACGGGCATCTCGATCCACGACAGCTTCGTTCACGCAACGTATCCCACCTACCTCGGCCGGCCATGGAAGCCGTACTCGAGGACGGTGTTCATGCAGTCGTACCTGAGCTCCGCTGTGCAGCCGGCGGGGTGGCTGGAGTGGGCGGGGGATTACGGGCTGGGCACGTTGTGGTACGGGGAGTACCGCAATTATGGCCCCGGTGCGAGGCTGGGCGGCCGAGTCCGGTGGCCCGGGTATCATGTGATCCGGGATGCTGCAGTGGCCAGCCTCTTCACAGTGCGGCGGTTCATTGATGGCTCGTCGTGGTTGCCGGCCACCGGAATCGAATTCACCGCTGATCTCATCAATAAGTAGCTTCTAAAGCAGGATGATAGTATACGCCTTCGATCATTCACGTTTGCTTACAACACAACCTTATTTGGTTTCAGTTTTCTTGCTGCATGGAATTGTAGTGTTCAATAAACGAATTCTTGGATCAATAAATTAATGCCGATTGCCGATAGCGCTTTAAGTAGACGAGCAATCCAATCTCCTTCCATCAACAAAGGCAATGGATGTTGAGAATAAAGCATTGTTAGTTAATTTCAAGGGAATTTTTTTTTTACTATTTTAATACAAAAATATCAACATTAAAAGGACTTTTAGGTGATTAATTACCATCAATTTGTCTCTCTCTCTTTAGAATATTCTTTTTGTAACTTGGGAGATTAGAATTCATCACAAAAGCAGTCTCTTTTTACCATGTAAAGGCTTTCCTATTGCATTATTTATGTCAAAGCTTATTTTGGTGCTTTTCTTGCAAATCACACAAATATTCTTTTCTTCATAATACACGTCATTAAACCTCATCTATTTATCGGAATATCTCCTTTATCTTCTCAAGGTATCCTTATTTATACTCTATTTAATTATATTCATAATTATAATTATCTAGATAAGTTCATGCAGTCCAACAAAAATGATTAATTAGATTAATTTTCCGATAGTTATTGCACCACCACCATCCTTCTAAAGAGGAAACCACCTAAGAGAGAAACGTATATTCTTTGGCCAGCAAAGATAGAAAGGCATCTCGACCTTTTGTGACAAGGGAGATAGACACGTACGTAGGCAACGCTCTACACGTCATCTTCACTCATCATCCGACGTGTTAAGTGGGAACCGATTCTAGAGACCAACAGTGTGACACCAACGTGCATGTCGACTCGATTTGATTCTATAAGATCAATCATACGATATTACGTCTCATTGATGGTCATAATCCTGACATTTGTCATGATCTCAACCTGACGATCATATACCGTATAATAAAAAATGACAGTTGTTACTGTTGCCGTTCCAACAATCGCTGTAGACCACTCGAGTCAACCGAATCATCTTCTTCGATACACCACCAGAGACGGAACGAGTTCGGCCGTCGAGAACACAAAAGTCGCACCATTCAGAAGTCAACAGCCTTGACTCCAAATGGATGCATGCGTCCAAAGAGGAGGAGGTCGAAAAGTCAGCACACGGAACTAATTCAAATGGAAATTTCTTGGTTAAGGCAAGAAAAATACCGGAGATACGGTGTACAGATAAGGGAAGGACTGCCCCCATTCCACACGAAATACGACTTTGAAGAGACCGAGCAAACCACCGTGATCGGCGGAGGGAATGGGCGTACGCGAGTGGAACTCAAAACAACCGGTCGCGTCTCACCTGCCACCTTCAATTAGGTCTTGTTTCTCCCACCGGCCTCTATATAAGTAGCGTGTAACACCACAGGCCATCACACCCACGGCCACTACAGATCATGGCGAACCATAGCATTTGCTCTGTGATTGCCACTGCATTGCTGATCTCAGTGTTGGCATTACCAACGAGTATTATCTATCTCTCTTTCCTCTTTTTGTAGTTTACGTGCGTTCTGTACGGATTACTGAGTCTTGAGCTTGTCTTGCTTGCTTCAGGCGTGCAGGCCATCGGTGTCTGCTACGGCAGGCTCGGAGATAACTTACCACAGCCCAGCGAGGTGGTAGATCTCTACAAATCCAACAACATTGGAAGCATGAGGATTTATGATCCAAACCATGATGTCCTCGAAGCCCTGCGAGGATCCAACATCCAACTACTCGTAGGTGTTCCTAATGATCAGCTCCAGTCGTTGGCGTCGGACTCATCTGCTGCCAATGCCTGGGTTCAGAGTAATGTGGTAGCCTACTGGCCCAGCGTCTCCTTCCGCTACATAGCGGTGGGAAACGAGGTGATCCCCGGAGACGATGCGCCGTATGTCCTCCCCGCCATGCAGAACGTCCAAAATGCTCTCGCTTCAGCAAATCTGCAGGGTCAAATCAAGGTCTCGACCTCAGTCTCAACACGCGTTCTCGGGGTATCATACCCTCCCTCCGAGGGTTCTTTCTCTTCTGACACACAAGCCGACATGAACCCCATAGTGCAGTTCCTAGTGAACAATGGAGCCCCCCTCCTACTCAACGTCTACCCCTACTTCAGCTACAAATATAACCAAGCTCAGATTTCACTCTCCTACGCCTTGTTCACTTCCCCGGATGTTGTAGTGAATGACGGGCCGTACGGGTACCAGAACCTCTTCGATGCCATTGTCGACGCAGCCTACGCATCGTTGGAGAAGGTGGGAGGGTCGAGTGTGGAGATTGTGGTATCGGAGAGTGGTTGGCCATCTGCTGGTGATGTTGAGACGACCATCGACAATGCAGGAACATACAACCAGAATCTGATCAACCATGTTGGCCAAGGAACACCAAGAAGACCTGGGAGTGCAATAGAGGCCTACATATTTGCCATGTTCAACGAGAACCAAAAGGATTCGGAACTGGAGAGGAACTTTGGTCTCTTCTATCCGAATAAGCAACCTGTTTACTCTATTCACTTCAGCTGAATAATTGTTGTGGCTTAAGGAACATTGTTCCCATACACCACCATATGATATTAAATAATGAACCAGAAGAGGGAACATTCTCAGAATTCTGGTCCTTGAATAAAATTATTTAAAATACATTGCATGTTTTAATGTTTTATTCTAATATTGCTATCTCTTTAGTTCTATTCAAAGACTTTCATCCGATACAAATTCGTCTTAATGTTGATTTTGACTAGATTAGTTGAATGTTGATTTTTCAGAAAAATTAGGCAACTTTTCTACGTAGGAAAATTCTATACGATGTATAATGGAAATTTCATGGAAAGTATCATATTATACACCATGTATAATGTAAATTTTATGGAAATTATCGTGAGTGTCGTAAGGTCAAAACATTAATTGACCTTATCAATCCAAATTTTCATCCGAACTATCTGCCACTAGTAATTGGAGATGCGGTGGTGTACAGAGAAAAGAAATTAGTACTGATTCATTCCATTGATCACAACGAGAAGATCGACCACCGACGGTGAGGTGCATCGAGATGGAATTCGAAACATTTAGATGAAAACACAGGCCATTCTCTAGTCATGAATGAGCTGCAGTGTCCTCTATATTAGAAGAACCCTCTTCTCACGTACACCTCAGACACGTATCTTCTGAGAACTGTCATCACGACTGGCCGACGCATCTCCTTTGTCTTTGGCCTTACACTGCTAATTTCAATCTTGGCAGTCCCAGCGAGCACCCTCTCTCTCTCTCTCTCTCCTCTTTTTCTAGATTGTAGTCTACATGTATGCATGTTTTATACTTACGTGAGTCGATTTGTTTTGCATCAAGCGTGCATGCCATCGGTGTCAACTACGTCATGGTGGCGGACAACCTACCACCGCCCTAGATCTCTACTAACTGCACGGTATTGGAAGCATGAGGATCTTTACCCCAAACCACGACGTCATCGAATCCCTTCCGATAATGGAGATCTCCAGTCTCTCGCCTCCGACCTTTCAGCACACAAGCCTACTTGCCCGGCATCTCCTTCCGCTACATAGCCGTCGGGAACGAGGTCATCCCCGGAGATTTGGCGCAGTACGTCCTCTCCACCATGCAAAACATCCACGCTGCACTCTCGTCCACCGGTCTTCACATCAAAGTCTACACCGCAGTTACATCGGCTGTTCTTGGTTATCAAAGTACACGAACCCCATAGTGGATTTCGTGCCCAACACGGGATCCCTTCTCCTGCTTAACGTGACCCTTACTTCCGCTACAAGGACGAACTCTCGTAGTGATAAATTATGACTAAGAGATTGAAAATAGATTTATAATTTTAATTTTTGATATTTCATCTCGTAGGAGGTAATGTGAGATGATAATTAGAATGTCTCTTTTCATCAAGATCATCTTCTAAGTAATCCTACGATAAATTTTTTATTATTATTTTGATTGATAATTATAATTAAAATCTAAATAAATATATATTATAATTTTTAAATTAAATAAAACTATATAATTTAATATTTCATTCGATTATCAATGGATTGTGAAATCAAACATCCAATAATCATCGGGGTTGCGATATCAAAAAAATAATTTTACCGAATCAGCTTATCATCAGTACTACATGGTTATAACCTCATGCGATCGAATGAGATTGTATAATAAAATGGAGTAGAATTGAAGAAGATGTATAAACAACAATATATTGGAAAAAGATTCACTATGTAAAACCAAAATCCAAATGGCTGATGTTAAAATTAATCAATGAACAAACTGAGGACACTTCAATATATATATTCCACTTTGATGTCTTTAATCCCGAATTCAGATGGAGCTGACTGTTAATTTGGACCAATATAGTCCCATCTTCTAATCCAACTTCATCTACAAGATGATGATTACTAAGCTATCTCTAACAAGTTGGAGTACTCTTCCCACCAAACAGGCATTTACAAAAGGGGGAAGAATACAAGGAAGGGAAAGAGTAAATAGGAAATAAATTTGATGGTTTCCATTTTTCTAAAATTGAAACCATTGGAGCTTATCGCGTCAAGAGGAGGTTGCTGACTGGGTGAAAAGCTTATTGGGTAAACGGGGTTCGTATCTGGATAAAAGAGGCCGAAGTTTCTCTCCGTTCCCTCTTCCTTTTGGTTCTCGTTAAAAATGGCAAATATGTAGGCTTCGATCGGTGTAGGTCTTCTTGGTGTTCCTTCCCCAACGTGGTTGATCAGATTCTGGTTGTATGTCTGAGCATTGCTGATATTTGCTGCAAAGCCGCCATCTGATGGCCAGCCACTCTCGGACACCACGACGGCCACATCCGCCCCTCCCACCTTCTCCATCGCCGCATAGGTCGCATCCAGCATTGCGTCGAACAGGTTCTTGTAACCATATGGTCCATCAATCACCACCACGTCTTGGGAAGTGAACAGGGCATAGGACAGCGCGATCTGGTCGGGGTTGTCCTTGTAGGAGAAATAAGGATACACATTGACGAGGAGCGGGGATCCACTGGTGGCGAGAAAACTCAGGATGGGTTCCATGTAGGTTTGTGCTTCCGGAGTGAAAGCACCGGCGGAGGGAGGATACGATGAGCCGAGAACAGAGAGTGCAATCGAGGTTGAGACGTTGACTGGTAGGCCGGCGGAATCGAGTGCAGTTTGGATGTTTTGCATGGCGGGGAGGACGTACTGCGCCAATTCTCCGGGGATGATCTCGTTGCCGACGGCTATGTGGCTGAAGGAGACGCCGGGCGAGTAGGCTACTATGTTGGTCTGAACCCAGTTGGTGGCTGCGGAAATGTCGGAGGCCAGTGATTGGAGATCATTGTGCTCAACACCAACAATGAGTGGGATGTTGGATCCTCGTAGGGCTTCGAGGACGTCATGGTTTGGATTAAAGATCCTCATGCTACTGATATTGTTGGATTTGTAGAGCTCCACCACCGCGCTGGGCTGGGGTAGGTTGTCGGCAACCAAACCGTAGTTGACGCCGATGCCATGCACGCCTGAACGCAAAACAAGACTTGGTAATCTACGCTCGCATCAAAGTGAAAGTTAGATCCCATGCTGATCCACGTGCGAGATGGAGAATGATACTACGCTATCCCTGTACTGCAAAAAACACACATATGCAGGGCCACGAAAGAGAGAGCGGAGGAGGAAGAGAGAATACTTGTTTGGACTGCCAAGACTGAGATTAACAATGCAATGGGAAGCAGAGAGAAGACACGTCCGCCAGCCATTTCTCTCTGGAGATTTAGCGACCTCTACAGTTCTCTATTCTGATGGCGGCGGGGTGAGAGGAGGGTTCTTCTTATGTAGAGCCCGGTGGTGGGAACATTGCCTCAGTCATGAATGGACCGACGTAGACTTGGCATGTGGTGTCGGCCATATGTTTGCGAGTACCATTCGAGCGCATCTGCCTTGTCGATTGGGCTGATGCACATTTTGGTCGATTCCCCATTGCCTAAAAGTAATCATCTGCCCCATTGTTCTTCGAGGTACAGACTTGCTTGTTTCGGGGCCTTAACTGCTATTATCTGTATTAATAAATAATTAAATTGTTGTATTGGTTCTTGTCCTGTATTGGGGATGCATAGTAAGTAAATGAGATGTTTTGGGTTACATTTTTATCTTGAATAGATGCACCTAATGTAAAAAAATACTTTGAACCTATTTAGTCGTATCGAGCATTTCGAATACTTTACATGTGTAATTCATATGCATATGTTTTATGCATATGCATATGTCTTAGGCAAACTATCTTTGTACTTAGTCGACTTCAAATATTTTTTGTCTTCAACAAATGGATGACATCTAAAGCAAACGCTTTAGATACAACACACCCTTCAAATGCTTTAACCATCCTTTAATATCAATACGATATATGATCAAATTCATCAATTCATAAAAATTTAGAAAATTTTATGAATCTTTTGGGATCATTCTATGATTCAACTTTATGACTCGCCCCCGAATCAAATAGCCAAAGTAAGGTGAGAAACCAAACTATCTCATAGGCATTGGAGAATAGACGATCGGAGCTAAAGAGACCTAGATTGATGAATATTCAAATATTCTAACGAGTTATGGAACAATTCCACGGACCTCAATGGAAGAATTCCCTTACTGTCTCACCTACGAGACTCGAGCAGTCATTCCCCTTGAGAACCTGAACTAGCAACTACAATGAAGAGAGATCAAGGACTTTGGACAAACCTTCATTTAATTGATAAGACTTGAGCCATGGAGCACTCAAAAGCTTTAACCTACAAGTGAGCAATTACCAGCCACTAAAGTCAGAAGGCCCTGATATTGATGCCTAAAACTTATTCATCATACAATTGTACTCAAAGTATGTAAAAGTTATTACTCAAAAAATACTACCCTTAAAAAATTATTACTCCAAGTATGCAAAAGTTTTATATTTTAAAACTTTACATTTTAAACACATAAAACGATTCCTAATAGAAAAAACAAAAAGATGACAAAAATAGAAGACAATTATTAGGTCACGAGGGCGATGATAGGCTCAGGGACCTCTCCCTCGTTGTCATTGAATATGACAAATGACTCGAGCAATAGTGCAACATACGAGAACTCTCGAGAACAACCTTTTGTCTACCAAGCTGATTTTTACCCTAAATTTTCTTTTATCTTCTCCTCTAGCTCTTCCCTCTCTCGACTTCCATATCGACCTCCATATTGTCGTGTCGCACTAGAGTAGATGTCTCATTACTTTCATTGAAAATGACATTCTCTTGCATGATGACAAAGTCATCTCTAAAGCATCAATCGCTCGGGTGTTCAGAGGACTGTATGACAAGCCGGGATGGTCAGAGAGGACTCACGAGATCATTAGGCTATATATTTTATTAGCATGCTTGGTCAGACTCATTTAGATCTTAGTACTTAGCAAGCTCCTCAACTTTATACTGGGGCCGAAGGGACTCTTCATCTGGAGTCGCTAGGTTAAGTCTTCAACTGGACATATGAGAGAGAAGTTCTCCGATTGGAGTTCTACAGAGAGTTTGGCAAGTTAACTCTCCCGTCGGGGGAGTTTCTGACTTGATGGTAAAATTAGTATGAGTCGAAGTATGAATAGTAGAAGTCTTGAGTTTGGTCATCTCTTTTGGCATTAAG